CCTTAACCCTGGGATCCTTATACACCGACTATATACCCTATATGTACCCTTAAGGGTCCCTAGAAAGGCCTAAGGGTCCATATTAGGGGCCCATACTTCAAACCTTGGATATTCAGGACCAGAAGGTCTGTATGAGAGGGCCCTTGGGGGGCGTGCTGGTAAACTGCTTCGGTTTAGGATGGCTTAAGGGCTTGGGGTGTGGGTTTAGGGCTTATGTTCGGCCCCGGGGTTCGCAGTTCGGAGTGCTTCTCTGTGTTAACATCATATGTTTTCCTTAGGGTTTAGGGCCTTAGGGCTTAGGGTCCAAAGGCCCAGAATACCCGAATGTTAAAGGAACCCTTAAAGGAACCCCATAAAGGAACTGTTATACAGGAGCCCTTAACCGTGGTCCTGCGGCCGAAAGCCTTAAACTATACGTCCTTAGGGCCCTAGGGTAAGGGTCCTGGAGATTTTCAGCTCAAGGAGCCACAAGAACAGCAGGGTTTAGGGTTTGTTCTTTTTGTTGGGAGGGTTTACGGTTTAGCGATTAGGGTTTAGGGTGTACGGTTTAGTTCTTTTTTGTACAAGCAGATTCACTACTAAAAGGGGCTTTAGCACCCAGAACACCTGCTGATACAGAACAATATAGGCCTTGCACAACTCTGCTATGATATACATCCATGCCCTCCTCATCTTAGAAGACAGTGTATAGATGTGTATAGTCGCTGTATATGTATACAATAAACTAGATTCTTAGCGTTATGCCACATCAGCATCACCCTGGCGCTCGCAACGGCGCAGGTTATACAAGTTACATGGGGGGCTGTTCTAACGGTATTGTTCCGGGTCTTTGTGCAGCATTCGTTTTTGATTACATTGTTACAGGATCCCCATGCGGACACAAACATGTGTACTCAACAATATCATCAAAAGGAGTGGTACATACACCCAACAAGACCCCTAGCGTACAGCCTACTCTGTGTGAGGCCCCCTTACCCTGCCCGAAGCTCGAACTAGCCCAGAAGAATTGTATAGTTCGGTTTTGGGTTCAACAGCATTTTGAATGAGAGTCCTTTGAGCCTTACGGCTGTATAATGACCCAAACCTGAACCCGAAACACGAATGCCTGTATCCTGACCCTTCCAAATCCAACAAAAAATATTATGCCAACTCCTACACAAGGATTTCGGGTTCAGGGTCAAGCTTTAGGTGTACTCATAGGCCCCATAGTAGTTCCTTTTTGGGGATTCCCTAATGGAATCCCAAATATTAGCCACAAAAAGGAACTACTATGGGGCCTATGGGTACCTCAATCACCAGTCAAACCCATGATTTTCGGAAGCAGAATGAACCCAGAGTCTCCATCGTAGCTCCGGTTTTGCGGTTATCTTATATATGGGATCCTAAATGCCTAGAGACTCCAAAACCCCTTAATTAAGGAATATGCCTTAAATCATGATAGGACCCCTAATATGATTTAGGGTGTATCCCTTAATTAATTAAGGGGTTTCGGAGTCCCTAATTATGGAACTGGTTACACCAACAAAAAGGAACTCCAACGGATGCTATACACCAGCGTCGGTCTCGATTGGAGATCGGGCTTTGCTATTCCTGATCAGGACCCTAAACCCTAAACCCTAAACCCTAAACCCTAAACCCCAAAACCAGGAACTCATCAAGAGGAGCCCTCGGTTTTAGGCTTCATTCTCAACGTCCCCGGGGGGTTTCAAGGGTCCTGTACCCTAAACAGCAATCTTGTATAGAATTTCAATTCAAGTTTCCCTAAACCCGAAACGCCTAAACCCCTAAACCCCTGAACCCTAAGTACCGAAATCCCTTAAACCCTTAGACCCCTAAACAAACCCTTATCCCCAAACCCCTAAACCCTACTCCCTAAAGCCTTAAACCCCTAAGACTTAGAGTCCTTATATGCCCGGACCCTTCTTTATCCGATGTCGGCCTGGAGCATGGCGCCCCATCCGTTCACAATCGGATGCGCAAGGATATCTTGGATTCGTTGAGTTTGGGTTTAAGGGTTTGGGATTAGGGTTCAGGCTTTGGGTTTAGCCAAGTTTGACTCCTGAATCCAAAGTAGTTTATCAAGGTGGCGTAAACAGGAGGTCGCAGGCCATGGGATTGGGGTACTATAAGACTCGTATGGCTTTAGGTAACGGAGCGTTTGGCTAGCTTGGTTGAGAGCCGCCGTCTTTTGAACACATCTCTTCTTAAGGTTTTAGGGTTTGGGGTCCTATCCCTCTCTGCTGCAACTATTGCTATATATTGTGTAGAAAGAACTATATTTCTTTGAATTAGGATCCCTTGTGAGGGCGGAGCATTTTTTTTCCTAACGTTGGCGGTCCCCGGTTTCCCTTGCTAAGGTTGGCGGTCCCGTTTGGTTAGAACTACTATGCACTGCAGCATTTCCCATTGTTTTGCATCTAGCTATTAGGCAACTGCAATTAGCAGGGTGTCCTTTTGGGCTAGGGCTGAGGGTGGGGTTGGAATGGTCAGCTCCGCCAATTAGATTTTTTCAAATC